GGATGTTACTGTATATAAGGGCTCGACATTAAGCCTTGACATGTGCTTGTCCTTCTGACAAATAAATCAGTCATTCACTTGTCCAAGTAAAAAAGTTGTCTCTACTTGTTGGTGTAAATGTAATTTATTCTGAAGCAATAGTCTTATCAGTGTTCTATCAAGTCTTACTTTAATCAGCATATTTGTGATATTTGCCTTAAATTGATTTCTAGGACACTTTTTATCTTTATGAAGGGCATTATTTTCCTGAACGTATTATGTGTGATCATTTTCGTCAAATTCTTACATTTTATCAATACATTCAGTTAGAATAATAAGACACTGTATGGTTGTTACCATTCAAATTAAATCAGTATCAATGAACTCCATCTTTCCACTGCAGAGGAAACACAGAAGCTGCATCAAAAGTGCCATTTAGATGTATTTATTCAGACTGTTTAATAAAGATAAGAGGTTCCATAAATGCATTTGCACAGTAAAATTGCAAATGCAAAATTAATGTTATAAGATTAATGTTTTACTTATTTAACATACAAATATGAAATGTTGAAAAAATTAAATGATCCTATATAGAAGGTTTATATTATTTTCTACTACAGTATGTCTTTTCATGTTTGTTCCATTTCGATACTATGACGCTATGAGAAAAGTCCTTTTTTCTCCGATAATGAAGCCTTTTTTAATAACGTAGTGTAACTGCACTGCCATTGGTTCGTGCAATGAAAATAAAACAAACCAATGGCGAGTCAGCGGAGCTGCATGAGCCTATGGCCACGAAGCCCGCCAATATGGTTACTCACTCAAATTCGCTTGAAGACCCCCACGATTCAGCGGCGTGGTTCCGACCTCGGTACAGAGCAATGATGCACACATCCTGCGCTCCGAGGTAATGAATTTACTGGCAAAAGGAGCCGCGGAGACAGTTCCTCCAGCCCAGAGCGAGTCAGGCTTCTACAGCCAGTACTTCCTCGTCCCCAAAAGACTTACTCAATCTCATACACCTGAACCGCGCCCTCATGAAACGGCCGTTCAGGATGACCAGATTGTAACAGATCATCTCGCAAGTGTGCTCAGGGGACTGGTTCTTTTCTCTGGACCTGAAAGATGCCTACTTTCACATCCAGATAGCCCCCCATCACAGATGATTCTTGAGTCGTCTTCGAGGGAGTGGCTTATCAATGCACAGTCCTTCCCTTTGGACTGTCCCTGGCTCCCCGCGGCCTCTGCATCTCCGGTGCAACAGCTGGGCCTGCTTCGTATGCGGTCCCTTCAGTACTGGCTAAAACCACGAGTTCCGTCCCATGCCTGGCGTCATGGACGTCTGTATATCACGGTGGTCCAGGCCTGCGTGGCAGCTCTGGCCCCTTGGAAAGACCCTCAGTGGATGGATTGGGGCATGACTCTGGGAATGGTCTGCAGAAGGAAGGTTGTCTTAACAGATGCGTCCAACATGGTTTGGGGAGCTCTGTGCAATGGTGAACTGCCTTTCGGCCCATGGTCGAAAGGGGAAGGTCGGCTACACATCAACTGCCTGGAAATGCTGGCAGTGTGTTGGGGCCTTCGGACCTTCTTGCCAGACCTAAAGGGTCGCCACGTTCTAGTCCACTCGGACAGCATTACGGTGGTGTCCTCTATAAATCGCAAGGGAGGGCTCTCCTCGAATTGCCTCTTCATTCTGGTGGAGCGCCTCTTGGAATGGGCTCAGCTCAACTTGCGTTCACTGAGAGCAACGCATGTGCCGGGCAGGTGGAACCAAGGAGCAGACATGCTGTCTCGGAGCAACGTCCCCTCAGAGGAGTGGATGCTCCATCCGCAAATGGTTCAGAGAATCTGAGAGATCTTTGGGAAGGCAGAGGTCGACCTCTTCGCCACAGAAGACAACTCTCATTGCCCAACTTATTTTTCGAAGAACAAGGACACGTTGGCCCACGACTGGCCCAACCTCCTCCTTTATGTTTTTCCGCCGATCGCCCTGATCCCTCAGGTAATCAGGTGAATCAGGGAGCAAGGACACAAGGTTCTCCTAGTGGCCCCACTCTGGAGGAACCAACATGGGTGCTCTGAGCTGTCTCGGCTGCTTGTTGCAGCCCCGTGGCCCATTCTCCTGAGGCGGGACCTCCTCTGCAGAGCTGTGGGCTCTGCACCTCTGGCCTCTCAATGGGAAGCCTGCAGACCTCCCCGAGAGTGTTTTAAATACAATTTCATGTGCTACAGCCCTATCTACGAGATGGCTATATGCTTTTAAATGGTCGGTCTTCTCCACCTAGTGTGCAGCCCGTGGCGAAGACCCAATTTCTTGTGACATCGTTGATATTGTCCTTCCTCCAAGAGATGTTGGATAAGGGTCGCTCCCTTTCCACTCTCAAGGTCTATGCAGCAGCTATAGCAGCTCGTCACGCTTCTATAGCTGGTCAATTGGTGGGCAGGAACAACTTAGTTGTCCGTTTTCTGAGGGGTCCAGGAGGCTGAACCGACCTCGCCCCTTTACCGTCCCTACATGGGATCTGCCCACTGTTCTGAGAGCTCTTTAGAGCCCTCCCTTTGAGCAGCTACAGTCATCCGACCTTCGGCCGCTGTCGCTGAAAACCGCTCTGCTACTGGCTTTAGCATCGGTCAAGCGAGTGGGAGACTTGCAGGCGCTATATGTGAGCCCTTCCTGCCTTGAGTTCGGGCCCAGCAACTCTAAGGTTGTCTGATGCCAATGCATGGTTATGTACCTAAGGTGCTCTCTACGCCGTTCAGAGCACAGGTCATTACACTCTCTGTGCTTCCTCCCTCGGAGGAGGCCTAGGAGCTGTATTTTCTCTGCCCCGTCAGGGCGCTGAGAATTTACATTGAGCGCTCTGCCCTGTTTAGGCAGTCGGAGCAGCTCTTTATTTGCTTCGGTGGCCGCACCAAGAGTAATCCAGTCACGAAGCAGAGACTAGAAGCTCTAGCTGACGCTATTACGCTAGCATACTCTTCCTTGGGCCTGCAATGCCCCATTGGAGTATGAGCCCACTCCACCAGAGGCATGGCCTCTTCTTGGGCTTGGTCTAGCGGTGTGTCTATTGCAGAAATCTGTGCGTCTGCCGGCTGGGCCTAACCGTCCACATTTGCTAGGTGTTACAACCTGGATGTCCCTGCCTTACAGGCCAGGGTCCTTTCTGCATAATTGGCACGCTCCCACCAGAGGGTGGGATTAGCTCTGTGTGGGGTATGGCCGTAACACGCTCAAACTCGCCAGAACTGCTACTTCTTCTACACTCTCGGCCCTGTCTAATGCCGAGGCTGTACGAGTTTTACTTGGAACGATTAACCAGTCTGAGCGTGACCTCTGTGAGTTTAGGTTGTTGCCACATGAAGGACTAACCCTATTATACTTGTCCCTCTGAGCCCATCGGGTGCTTAAGGAAAGTTCACATACTGGTCGTTCCTCTCCATAGCACGCAATGATTGTACTGGTTCCCATAGCATCTAGCGACGCAGTACAAGTGTAGTATCGAAAGGGAACATACCTGTACTTGGTTACTAACGTAACCTCGGTTCCCTGAGATACGGGAACGAGTACTACGTTGCTAGCCATGCTATAGAGCTGCACGACTCAGTGTCGTCGCTTCAGTCAAAGTAACCTGAGGATCCTATGCCAGAATGCCCGCTTATATAGCAAAATTGCCCCACCTATATTGGCGGGCTTCGTGGCCATAGGCTCGTGCAGCTCCGCTGACTCGCCATTGGTTCATTTTTATTTCCCCCCCAAAAAAAAGACTTGAAGGAAATGGTGGTGGGGTAGCAGCCTACTAACTACAGGTCCATATAAAACTTAAAATCTGTGGAGCATATGGTTATGAATACTGTAGATCAGTACTCAGAACAAAAAGAAAAGTTCAAATAAAAATCTGAAAATAAAATCATATAAACACATACATATAAAAAAATATACATTAACGCATAGGATTGTTTTTCTTGCAAACACATGAACAGTTTGCATGAGTCCGTGCTTTCTTTTTGTTTGCATGTCATTGAGAAGAGAAACCTTTTTTCTCAGTACCAAAATAGTTTCCAGAAAGGGCAAAACACAATTCTCTGCTTGGAAGCTGAAATAAGAAAGGCCCAAGTAAACAAGGAAGTGTTAGTAGGAGTATTATTTGAAAAATGTGATGATGTGGAAAGAGAGAGTTTTGATAAAATTGGACCGAATAGAAATAAAAAGAATGGACAACTGGATGACGAATAGGGCTCTTCAATTAATCGCATGCGATTGTAATGTGCATCTTGTCAGTAAAGTCGGTTCCGTGATTAGTAGTAAATCTCCATCACCTGCTTTCAGATGGAGCGGCATTTACTACACAGAGCAGTAGTTCACTGACAATTAGGCAATATCGCGATTTACTACGAATCACGGAACCGGCTTTACTGACGAGATGCGCATGACAATCGCATGCGATTAATTGCACAGCCCTAATCATTTATTGTTTAAAAGAACTATGCAAGTTAGAGTATTGTCTCAGATATATCCAGAAAGTGTTAGCAGTCCTATTCTGTTTAATCTAATTATTTACAACATTTTTGCACAGATAGAAACGGAGATAGAGAGTGCAATGGGGTTGCAATGTTGGGCATGTGGATAAGTGTATGTAAATAACTGTTGTGAATGTAGTGAACTGGGCTAATGAATGGGATTTCCGTTTCTATGTGCCAAAAACTCAGGTGATCTGTTTTGCTAAAAGAAGACTGATTCAATATCGAATACTAGCAATTGGAGTAAGTGTGAGTAGTCAGATTTCTTGCAGTGTGGATGGCAAATTGAAAATTGAATTTTTTGCATCTTCGAATTCGAAAGCTCGATTTATTTGAGGGAAAAAAAATGTTTACTTAGCAAATTATTGGAGAATGTGTTGTTGGAAGAACAAACACAGAAGTTGTTCCGTAAATAGCAGCTTTCTCACAGAGAGCTTGTTGCATGGATTATTTGTATGGTGATCTTTAAACCAAATTGTTCAGGTAGGAACTTGACTTACCATCATCTTCTAATTCTACTTCATGATGTTCGTCCAAGGAGGAAGATGACATATTCATTTGATCACCACATTTTCCATGGGTCTGCCTTTCCATCAACCTATAAGGGAAAAAAAAGAACACATTATACCACAGGTGAGGTGTGTTGTGATTTTAAAACAATGTAGTTTACATATAGTTACATAAACACAAAATGAGGTACAGCACCTGTATATGGGTCGAAACGTTTTAGAATAACAGTAAAGTACAGATAGAACAGCAGGAAAAGAATCCTTGCAACAAGTTAGAACAAAGCTTTTATACTTTATTTGGACATATTCAATTTAGTGAAAATGAGGCTTTTCTGTCATCTGTAATCAGTTTGTTGATCACGCTCTACACATTACAAAAAAACATTACTGCATTGCTTTGCTGCTGCTCACAAAAAGTAACTTGTTTCTTTCTCACTCCCAAAACAAAATGGAAGTAGGAACAGACAAAGATGAAACGAATCATAATGAGATCTCTTAAGATGGTCACTTCTTGCCTCTGGAAATGGGGAGGCTGCAGATAAGACACTAAGTTTCAGATTTTTTCTAAATCAGCTGCTCCAAAAAAATTTAGAGCATCGATATACAATCAAAGCATATACTTTGAATTGTTAACCTACACTGTAAAATAAAATCCTATTTTTATGGAAAATAACTGTCTTTCTTTCTTAAAAAAAAGCACAGCCATTTTCCTCCACTTTAAATTATACTAAAACCTCTGTAAAATTACTAAAAATATATTTGAAATTAACAATTCGGTTGTCATTTTAAGTTGTGAAATCACCATCAAATGCTTACACTGTAAAAAAAAAAAAAAAAATCCTAATTTAAATAAAGTGCAAAACCTGTTACAGAAATTTTACAGAAAAACATTATTTTACAGGTATTTCCTTAATTATTACAATCAAACAACTTCACTTTAGAAGAAGAAGAAGAAGACGAATGGTCAAATGACTTGCAGCAATGGCTCCTAAACTAAAAATGTAAGATGTCCTAATTTAAGTGCAAAAACTTTTACAGAAATTAGCATTTAACACCTTCACTGTAAAGAAAAAATGTAATTAAATTTAAAAAATAAAATAAGTAAATTAATACAATTTGTCAAATGACCGGCATCAATGGAACATTAAATAGTAACAGATCTCTCGAGATCTCAGCATCTTCACTTATTACTAACCAGTTTGATACATTTCATACAAAAGTTCTTGCTGAGAATTAACAGGTTTAGATGTTATTTTTTATTGAAAATAGTCAAGTTTGATGTCACCATGATAGAGATCAGTGTTTGCTTTAGCTGGGCTCTTGACTCTTGACTTCTTGAATATTAGTTTTACTCTTGGTGTTTTAACTGTGTAGCCTATTTCTGAAGCACATTCATTAAAGCAACTAATGTGAGAGATAATGTGATCAGATGATGTTGTGGCCTAATTCACTGTTCTCATCCAGAATCTATAATTACATTGTGTGTTAAGCAAATATGATACGATTTTTTAAAGTCATTATAAAGAAAATATTTTGAGCTCTGTATTTTAGATGCAAAGAGACATCAAAAATCAGAATCAGTGTATAAATCTCAACAATGGTGACAATCAACAAAAAGCTTTTTTGTGACTTTAGTAGCTTGTTTTGTGACATTCAGAGTTGATCTGTTTATCTGACTATTTTGTCACCATTGTTGAGATTTTTTTTTTTTTTATTGTTTGAGATCAGCAGACTTTCTCAGACCACATTGCTAAAACTGCCCGGTCCTGCAGATTTGCTTTATTCAACATCAAGAAGATCAGGCCCTTTCTTTCGGAACATGCTTCACAACTCCTTGTTCAAGCTCTTGTTCTGTCCAGGCTGGGCTATTGCAATGCTCTCTTGGCAGGTCTTCCAGCCAGTTCTATCAAACCTTTACAGTTAATCCAGAACGCGGCAGCAAGATTAAATTTGAATAAGCCGGAAAATATGCACGTCACACCTCCGTTTATCAATTTGCACTGGCTACCAATAGCTGCTTGCATAAAATTAAAGGCATTAATGTCTGCCTACAAAATCACCACTGGCTCTGCACCTCTTTACCTAAATTCATTACTTCAGACTTATGTACCCTCTAGAAGCTTGCGTTCTGCAATTGAACGTCGCTTTTGTTACGGAGTAACCAGAACATGAGACGTGCGGATCCATGTGCAAAGCTTTTATTAAGACGTGGTCATAAACAGGCATAGGTCAGACATAGGCAAACTGGTATGTAGAAGACAAGGCAAGGGTAGTCTGGTAAACAAGCGAGGGTCAGTCGAAGATGAACGTAATCCAACAGGGCGAGACTAGAGAGATGATCCAGCTACAAAGCAAAGGTCCAGGCAGGGGCAAACAGTATCCGAACAGGGCAAGACGAGAGAGGTAATCCAAAGTACACAGGCAATGATCAGAAGACGAGGAAACAGACAAGGCAAGGCAAGACTAGACTAGACTAGACTAGGAAACTTAATGCAGACTCCGTAATGTAGCTATCACAACTAGCGATATGCGCATACAATACGCGGCAGTTTGAAAGTGGTCTGAGTGAGTGTTATATAGTGAAGGTGTGATTGGTTACAGCTGTGTGCAATCAGTGCTGTCTGCAATCGGTGCAATGGATGATGGGATATGTAGTCCGGATTCGCGACAGCTTTATTGTGCCATCCCAAAGAGGCACAAAATCACTTTCACAGACTTTTAAATTAAATGCTCCCTCCTGGTGGAATGACCTGCCCAACTCAATCCGAGTTCATCTTCAAGAATCGGCTAAAAACACATCTCTTCCATCTTTATTTGACCCTCTAACTCTAGCACTCTCTATTCTAATTCTATTCTTTAAAAAATAAAGTCTAAAAAAAACTTGCCCCTTTTAGACTTGCATTCTATTAATTTACTAACTGCTTGTTTACTTTAAAACAAGCTTGCTCTATTCTTTTTCAATTCTATCTGTTTTCTTTTTATTTATTATATCATTTAAAAAACAACAACAACAACAAAAAAAACCTTGTTACGTGTACTGCATTAAGCTAACTGAGACTTGTTATAGCACTTGCATATCATTGCTCTCTTGTTGATTTTGATTGCTTTCATTGTCCTCATTTGTAAGTCGCTTTGGATAAAAGCGTCTGCTAAATTATTAAATGTAATGTAAATGTAAATGCTCTGGTGTTTAATGGTGAATGTTGCTCAGCTTGCCTCTACAGAATCCCCCACAGGTGCTCAAGATTGTTAAGATGAAATACATGTCCACTGAAGGATTTTCACCTTGAGAGATTGCATACCGTCATTGTCATGTTGAAAAAATACCCAACAACGAGAGGGTAGCATCTTCTGTTTCAAGTTTTTTTTTTTTTATTATTACATCACACAGTGGTGTGTGAATTCATGACAGCATTGATAAAGCACAACACACTCACATGTTCAGCACTCATACACACCTATAGAAGAGCTTTACTACCATTAAACTTCACTGTGGGAACCAGGCACTTCTCACTGTACTCCTCTGGCAACACCATAACATTTTGGATGCTGTTAGATCTGAAATGATTGGCTTGGTCTCATGAGACCAGAGTATGGATTCCCAGATTTGTTAATATGGGCCTCAGAAATGGTTAAATGAGTTTATTGTGCTTTGGCTACAGTAGGTAGTTCCATTATGGACAACAACCATGCAGATTACTTCTGCAGGCCGCATCTTACACAGTGAGATAAACAGTCACTGTTTTCATAGCTTTTGCCAGCTCTGAGACACTTGATTGGTATTTCTCCTGCACCTTTTCCAGCCAAAAATCACTTATCACTAAATTAAGGCTTAAAGTGAAGGCCTGATTATTTCAGGGGCCTTGTCGCAAGTCCATTGTTTTTAAATTTCTGTGACACTTTTGCTATATTTCCACACTTAAAACAATGATTTGGTATTCCTTTGGTACCATTGTCCTCTTTTGTGCAAAAAATTTGTCTCCTGACAGGTCTCTCCCAAGTGTTAACACTGTTTGCAGCATGACGTTTGAGAATGATTTAGTAATTCAGTTTTATTTAGTAACTTTCAAGAAGGTGTACTCATTTTTGCAACACAACATTTTATCACTTTGATAAGAAAGTCTTATTTTCCTGAATAATTTTGACATGCTTCTTTGGTAATTGATCAAGCAGACTTGCTGGAACATTACATTTCTAAATAACCCTAACATGTCGTCTAAGTAAGGAGTAATTGCTGAATTGCTGGTTGTGAAGGCAATTTTTTAAATTAATAATTTTAAATTTACTATATATATTTGTCTTTTCCTTGCAGGCCTAACATTTGTAAGTTTTTGAGAACAAAAATGTACTTTAGTTAGTGTGTTGTAATAATGGATGCATATGGACAAGACGGCTAGACGTATGTCTGAATATAAAAATAACCATAACAACCCATGACTTGAGTAATGAGCTGAAGTAATCAATTGCACATAAGAACAACCAATTATATTACAGAAAAATTATGTAATGAATCATGTCAACTTTGCCATGCACCTATGCTATATAAACTGTTTTTTTTCAGGCGGATTCGCTGTTATTGGTACGAGGTCCTCCCAGCCGTGATTAAAGCATATTCAAAGGCACTGTCTGCAGTCTGTCTGTTACAGCTGTGCAGCAGGTTAGTTGAACACTAAAGATCTTAGTCCCGTTTAATAGTTTTCAAAAGGGGCGAAACATCGTCCGGAACTCTGCAAATATCACCAATAGACGTTCTAGAGTATAAATTTGTATGCGTCGCAAGTTGACGCTTTGGGGATAAGTAGCCACTAGACGAGACCCCAGCAGGTATCTTAACTTGGGTGCATAGGGGAATTTCTACCATAGGTTGTACTCATTTATACGGTGCACTGTAACTTTGGAGTTCTATTCTTTTGATTTTCTCTTGCTCATTGACTAACTGAATTATTTTTTTGGCCTCAGGTTCTATATTGTTCCTAAGGGCTTTCTAATGTTTCTACTGCATTTCTGACCATTCACTGTTTGTTGTTTTCATAGTGGTTCCATTTTTGTCCTTTCCGTATGTGTATCCTGATTGAACTTTGCATGTACCATCAACTTCTGTGGCTTGAATGGCTCTCTATACAGTAGTTCCCAACCACGTTCTTGGAGTACCCTCAACTCTGCACATTTAGCAAGTCACCTTACACTCCTAACAAACCTTATTCCACTCGTGATCTTATTTGTAGAGACTCCAAAAACTGAAATAGGTGTGTCAGACAAAGGAGACACGCAAAATGTGCAGTGTTAGGGGTACACATCTAATAAACTCTCACATGAACTTAAGTTTGTGTCCACCCTTCACTCACCATTTCTTCAATTTCTCAGTGTTTTTCTTCATCCTGCAGTGAGTAAAAACAAAGTCAATGTTTATTAAAAGAGTTTTCATAGTGTAAAAAATACAAAGGTGCTTTGGATGGGAAAGTATGGGGACCATAGGATCCAAGTAATGTAGGTTATATTAAAGAACCAGCTACCTGGGCTGCAATGAACATAACACACACACACATATATATATATATATATATATATACGTTAAACCTATTAACACATTTTGGGTTTGGTCCCTCTGAAGGGAAATTATGAATTCAAAACACATCCTGATGGAACCACTGATATGACCAAAGACTTTAACTCTATCTGCAATAAGCCTGAAAATACCACCTGAAATCAAAGCAAGTTTTAGCGAGTTCTACAGCACAACCCTGGACTGAAAACTTTGGTCATTTGCGGGAATATTTATGGTAATATCATTTATTAAGGGATCACTTAAATCACACATTGGATCTTGATGAACAAAATATTCAAGTTGAAAATCTTTACTTATACATATTGTGTAGTTTGTTGAGAACAAAATGATGTGACAATGGTCAATGGAAGCCAAAATCATCAACCCAATTAAGAGCTGGATTCAAAATAACGCTGGTCTCTATATTTCCTTCCCAGCAGAGGTCCGGACAATACTCCCAATTGGACAGGAATATTAAAAGGTAAGATCAGATGTTTTATCAAATGTATTATAATTTATTACAATTTATTATGATTATTATTATTATTTATATGTAGACATGGCAGAAGGCCATGCGACTGAGAAAAGATAATGCTAACACTTTACATTAAGTTTCCCTTTATAAAGGGTTTATAAAGGTGTTCATAAATGACTAATAACTCATTTAAACATGCATTTTAAATCATTGATAATTAGTTATAGTGTTTATATGTGTAGTTGCTGTGTTGGTTCAATTTATTAGTTACCATACAAATAAATAACCACACCGACGCTGCCGTGGATGGTTCACTCGTGTGGAGGTACTGCAAGTGTGGATGGCTAAATACTCAAGTTACAGTGGGCTTTATCATGATATCAAAAATAATTATTGATTGCTTATTAATATGATAATGTTCTGTAATGGTGCTTTCAGTCATTGATTTAATGATTTTTACAAAACTGCTAAATTAGATATTTTCATTATTAATATCTCATCAAGTCATGGTTGTGCTTTTATGTTTTTTCCCCCCTCCAAAATAAAGTTTGATAATTTCTGTCACAGATATGAACTTAGTTTGCTCTTTTCTGTTGTATCTCCTTGCTCTGGTTTGCCCTTCTTGTGTTTTGATTCATTATCTTGTTATGTCATTATTAGTTAACTCCCTGCACCTGTCTTTCCCTCATTAGTTCCCTTATTTAGTCTCCATCCTGAGTTCTTTGAGTTTGTCAGTTATTGAACTTATGTTGCCCTGTGTGCTATTGTTTGCTTCATCTACTGGATCTCCATTAAAGGATTTTATTATTTTTTATCATCACCCTTTTTATTCATGCATTTATAACTGTTTATCAATGATTTATAATGCATTTGTAAATGAGTTATTAGTCATATATGAACGCCTTTATAAACCCTTTACAAAGGGAACCTTAATGTAAAGTGTTACCAAGATAATGTATGGGTGTTCAGGGTTTTCCTTTTTAAGTCCGGACCAATAGTATATTTAATTTTAATTTAACTGGCACATCATGTAATTAATTAAATAAAAATATTTAGTGGATTGAGAGAGGGACAAAATGGAGGAGGGACCTTGAGCTAAGATTAAAACTTGGGTCTGAGGTTCTAATGTGCCAATATTAGAGCACTGCCTACTAATTTATGGCTAATCTATGATTATTCAATCATAGTAGTTGCAGCATATACTGCCACTGCACATAACATGAATGAAACATTAGCAGTAATTAGAGGTGTAACGATACCCTCATGTCATGATTCAATACATATCACGATACTGAACTCACAACACAATATTATTACGATACTCCAAGACTTATGGAAAAAGGTTAACAGAAAATGTACTGTTGATTAAAATGCTAAATTTGGTATTACAATGGGGGTGTAAATTAATAGGCTTGGACTTGGTGCTGGTAACTCAATGCACAGGACAGTGGTGAAACCAGAATAAAAATATTCATGATTCTGAAGCTGAAAATACAGAATTATTTTAGACAAATATGTTTGCACTCTGTCACTGACTAGATATATTTCAAATAATGTAGGCCACTTTTTACTGGTAACATAAGACATTTGGCATTACCCACATGACCCACAAATATTCCCCCATTGCATTATTATACATTATATTCAACATTATATATAGTAGTTTAATGTAGTTTTTCCTCACACAGTAATTTTCATTTTGGGTGATTTGTACACAAGATTGTCACAATCCATGATACATATTGTTTAATTTTTTGTACTGAGATATATCGTGACACAATATATTGTTACACCTCTAGCAGTAGTAATATGTCAGAAGCACAATACTAAAAGAAATTCAGAGAAATTTCCCATGCTAACCAATATAACTAAAAAAATCCCTAGCATTTTCTCTGAAACCTAAGTACTACAGTATTAAAAAATGGGGACAATTTAAACTAAAGCTGCTGCAAGAGGTCAAATACTCACATATCAAAAATCGCCTTCAGTGTTTCCTTTAAGTCTTCTTCTCTGAAATGATATCATAAGATTTTAATATAATTATGTTTCAAAGAATGTACCATTAAAAGACATTTACTGCACTGGCTTGGCTTGCCTTGCCTTGTATAGCCCTGCCATGTCTGGCTCTTCTCTGCCTTTCTGTGCCAGAGACTGTGTGTTTTCCCCTACTGGCTAGTTTTGATTTGTTTTTGTTTAGAATTTAAATAAAGGCCCATTATTGCTGCATTTGAGTCCTTGCCTCATTCCTCAACACCACACCTGACAGACATCACTTCTTCACAGACTGGATAGAAGCTGTGGAGTATGCAGGGGCGTAGACTTGCAGAGCCAGGTGTCCAGTCCTTTTAACTTTTAAAGTTTAACTCAAAACCTAATGAAACCAACTTATCAAGGTCTTAAGTATCACTAGAAACTTCCAGGCAAGTAGGTTGGGGCAGACTGGAGTAAACTCTGGAGTACATTGGCCCTCCAGGACCAGAACTGGATAGCCATTGTCTCCAGGAACAGGGCTGGGAAACAATGCTCAACAGCACTGAACATTTTGTATGTCTTCCATATCTAACACACCTGATTCAACTTTAGTAGAGACTGAAAGACCTGAATTGTGTGTGTTCGATAAGGGAGACATACAAAATGTGCAGTGATGGGATGCCTCCAGGACCGGTTTGAAAACCCCTGTTTTAAGCAAGTTACAAGATTAAACTAGATTGCCCTTATTATAATTAACAAAGAACTGAATGTTGTGGAGTTTTTAATCTGATGTTAAATATAAGCTTTCCTGAGTTTGGTCATTATTTCCAAAGAACAAAGGTGAATTACACTGAACAAAATTATAAACGCAACACTTTTGTTTTTGCCCCCATTTTTCATGAGCTGAACTCAAAGATCTAAGACTTTTTCTATGTACACAAAAGGCCTATTTCTCTCAAATATTGTTCACAAATCTGTCTAAATCTGTGTTAGTGAGCACTTCTCCTTTGCCGAGATAATCCATCCACCTCACAGGTGTGGCATATCAAGATGCTGATTAGACAGCATGATTATTGCACAGGTGTGCCTTAGGCTGGCCACAATAAAAGGCCACTCTAAAATGTGTAGTTTTATCACACAGCACAATGCCAACCACGTGTAACCACACCAGCCCAGGACCTCCACATCCAGCATCTTCACCTCCAAGATCGTCTGAGACCAGCCACCAACTGCTGCAACAATCGGTTTGCAAAACCAAAAAATTTCTGCACAAACTGTGAGAAACCGTCTCAGGGAAGCTCATCTCTTGATATGCCACACCTGTGAGGTGGATGGATTATCTCGGCAAAGGAGAAGTGCTTACTAACACAGATTTAGACAGATTTGTGAACAATATTTGAGAGAAATAGGCCTTTTGTGTACATAGAAAAAGTCTTAGATCTTTGAGTTCAGCTCATGAAAAATGGGGGCAAAAACAAAAGTGCTGCGTTTATAATTTTGTTCAGTGTATATTTGTGTGTCTGACTATTTTTACACACCTGTTAATTCTGTTCCTTGTCACTACTCTCTGAAGATCAGTTAGAGAGAGGAAATCACAGTTGAAATAATGCAGCTGAAGAATGCAGGCCAGAAGGAAGAAGGCTGGCAGTAAGATTTGTGCAAATAGTTCAATGGTGTCAAACTGTTCTAGCCCAATGTCTCGCAACCTGACAAAGAGTGAACAAATTTCATATGTAACATCTGTCTCATAAATATACATACATGTTATATGAATGAAAGCAGAATCATTTTTGAATAGGGTCAGACATTATCAGGTAAAGGTAAAAGGTAAAATATGCCCCTGAAATCAATTTAAATAGGCAAATATTACACCCACATGTCACTGTTTCTGAATTATTACACATTATGTTTACGTGTCTACATACCAGTACTTACCTCTCCTCTGGTATGCCTAATATCTGTTGGAACAGGTTACAGACACTTTTAAACTGGTACATGTAGATCAGGATCAACACTAGCATGGAGTATCCAACCACTACCGCCCAGAAATGCTTCAATAGACTCCTCCATACTTCATAATGTACCTGGACACAACAGTTATATCAATATTGAAGTCAAATAGAATTCACAAACCATTTTACTTTGATAATGTGACACATTTCCAAGTGTAATTCGATTCAATGAGAGAACTATGTATGTGTGTGTGTGTGTGTGTGTGTGTGTGTGTGCATAAAATTAAATAAGTGCAAAAACATGCATTAAATGTTTATCAGGAAAACACTGTAAAGAAGAAAAAAATTATTTAAAAACCTGTCAAATAACTGGCAGCAACAGAACATTAAACACTAGCAGATCTCTCAAGATCTCAGCATCTTCACTTATTACTAAGCAGTTTGACTTTATTTCATCCACAAGTTCTTGTTGAGAATTATGTTTTATTAACATTTAAAATAATAAAGTCAACATGATGGAGATCATTGTTTGCTGTAGTTGGGCTCTTGACCCTTTTTTTATCCAATGGCTACAAATGCGAGAGAAAATGTGATCAGATGATGTTGGCTACTTCGTGCTGATGATAAAGACTGATTCACTAATCTCATCAAGAGTCTAATCTTTGAGTGTGTAAGCTGTTAATTTTACATTATTTACAACAGGTTTGTGATATTATGGCATGAGTGTTCTGCCAATAAGATATTCTATTGTTTTTTTTTTTAAGTTATTAGAAAAAAAATGTTTTGAGCTGTGTGTTAGATACACAGAGACCTCAATAGCGTATGAATCTCAACAATGGTGACAAACAACAAAAAGCTTTTTTGTGACTTTAGTAACTTGTTATAAAATAATTATTATCAATTTGCAGGGCTTGTTTTGTTTGTTTTATGGAGAGCTTGTCTAAACAGGGCAATAAGAGACTATTAACTACTACTCATCCTTTTAATAACACAAATGTCTCACTAAAAATGTCTACAAATCAATCAAACTGATCCGAGATCATATAAAAACCATAGACACTGGTTCAATGGTTCGCCACTGGGAGTCGATCTCAATGATCTCGCATGATTCACGGGTTCACAGAGATCATTGCAGTGCTTCAAAAGCGCCCATCACTACTGTGAAGTTTCAGCTCAAAATACTCCACAGATCATTTATTATAACATTTTGACAATGCCCATTTTGAGTGGAAGCAAAAACATGTCGTTCCCTATTGAACGGTCTCTCCTGTTGCGTCGCTGACGCTATGGGGAAACTCCTGTTTACTCTGTTACTGAAGCCTGTTACTGAAGCCTGATTTGTTCACGTTTGTGTAGCTGCACAAACCAATGCCGCTCTAGCCCACCAGAAGGGGAGGAGCCGACGCTATATAAGTCGGCTTAGAGCGCTATTTCATCCGAATTTTCTTCTTCAGCGACAAGACCATCTCTTCGCTGACTCTGCTATCAAGAAGAAGAAGAAGAAGAAAGAAGCTCAGCCAGATAGCTGCTCACCGCCATAGAATAGCCCTGGCAGTGGAAGAAGCGGAAGCCTTCCTCTGTGGCCATCCGGCACATTAAAAGAGCAAATTTCCTACCAAAGTTGTTGCAAACGTCGCTCCGTGAGAGTGGCTCATTCAGGGAACCCCTGCACGATGCAGAAGTGCATAGTGAGTGTGTCGCCTGTTTTGGCAGCACCCACACAGGGACTGCATGCTCACTGAGACGGCATTTTCTTGCTAAGAGCACGAGTCTCGCACTTCTCCACTCACGGATCGCCTTCTTCAATGAAAGCTCTCCCTTTTCTCCTCTCTAAGCGAGCTCGGAGAAAAAAAGCAACTGGGTTTGAGTGAGCTCACACCGACACATGTTCCGTGTGCCCACTAGTACATTGATCCGCTGGTGTGTTTTGCATGTAAGGATCAGCACCCCTCATTTACATCGAGCGGTTTAATCCTTTTAGGTGGATCTGAATAGAATGCTGTCACCAATGATTCTGTATCGTTGACAGCTTCACATTTGTGTGTGCGCCGCTTGCCTGGGCCACTCTCACGCTGAGGCTGTGCTCACTTAGAGACTACATCCTCAAATGGTTCAAATGATTTGGTCCATCTTCGGGAGGGCAGAGGTGGACCTCTTCGCCTCAGAAGAAAACTCTCACTGCCCAATTTATTTCTTGAAACAGTGAGATGCCCTGACCCATGATTGGCCCTGCACTCAACTGTACACCTTCCCCCCGATTGCCCTGCTTTCTCAGGTCATCATACGGGTTAGAGAAGTCAAATGCTCAGTCCTCCTGGTGGCCCCACTCTGGAGGAACCAGACATGGTTCCCTAAGTTGATTCCGCTGCTATCTGCAGCCCCCTGGCCAATACCATACAGGAAGGACCGTCTCTCGCAAGCTAAGGGCATGATTTGGCACCCCGGCCAGAGCTGTGGGGCCTTCATGTTTGGCCCCTCGACGGGATTCTATAACTTGGACGTGCCTACAGGGCAGTGAAATAATAATTCAGGAAAAACCTGTAAAATAACAGTGTTTGTCTGTAAAACATTTAATGAAAATATCAGTACAAGTTTTTCCACTTTACTGAAATTAGGATATTTTACTTTCGTTTTTAAATTAGTTTTTGTGTGGCAGGAGTTGCTGCAAGTTATTTGACCCTTTTTTTTACAGTCTAGGTTATAAATGATTGTCAGTTGTTTGTGAATTAAATCTGCTGTAAATTTAAATTTTATTAAAAGTTGTATGAAAATTGTATTAAATCCTTGAATGGGGAATGTATAACTGTCTGTGTAAGGTAGGCTACTTTAGTATATAAAAAAGAAAAAAATCAAATTAGTACTGTTTCAAATTATATTAAACTAGTTTGCATTAGTTTATCTAGAGTTCCTCTTATAATATAAAAAAATAAATAAAATGTTAACACATTTTGCCTCCATATGTCATGTTTTTATATTAATATCTGAAGGGGGAAAAACAATCTATAGAAATATTTTTGTGAATATATGCTTTATAGACTTTTGTCAACTCAGAGTCCACAATGCTGCTTCAGGGGGTCTATGAACTAATTCATATACTATTTAGATTTTTTAATAGTTAACCAAAAACCATTAAACAAATGTAAATTTCTCTCTGTCAGACAATGCAGTGACATAATGAACCTAGGACAAGGGTTTTTAATTCAGAAACTTGGTTGTTTAATGTAACGTAATGTTCATTGGTTTTCTTAAGGAAACATATAAGCATTTTTATGTCAGAGACTCTGCAGGTTGAATATGGATCAGGAATCTCTTGCTTGGAAAAAGTTAACACTTGGTGTTAGCTCACCTCATACAGAACCACACAGAAGAGGAATAAGCAGATATAGAGGATTTTGAAGACTGCTACTTTGTCAGAGAAACTGACAAAGAAGAACATGAAGCAGCAGCAGAAGATCCAGTACTTCACCAAAATGCCTTTAACTAATGTTCCCAACATAATCATCATTTGAGAGGTATGGCTGATGTCACCTATAATAGAAACACACATTTCTACATTATATTACTTATTTTGAAATTGAGATAAGGTGTTATATTTTCAAACAAACATAAAGGACATAGATAAGACTGTGTCCTCAACTGTTACTAAACCTTCCGGAAAACAACATAAGATGAACTAGCTTAGACCATCATAAACCAACAATGACCAGCAAACTAGCTTCTTTTTTTTTTTCAAATACATGTGTGTAAAAACTAAATTAACTATTTCTGGTGAAACAGAGGCAGGGCTGGGCAATACATTGAATATTGTAGTATTAATTTAGTTGTACTTGAAATGAATGAGGTCACTAAATAATGATACTGCTTTGAAGCTATCTGTACTGTATAAAGTGCTATGTAAATAAAGTTCACTTGACTGTTTCCAGTTTCCCATTCCCATCATTTGTTATTCGATGATTGTTCTCAGCTAAATTACACTAAACTGTCCATGATGTAAACCACTCGGAGACCACATAGACTTAATATTTTCAAGCTGTGAACACAGGGGCAGAAAGCCTTAACACATAGCCATACAGACTTAATAAGACCATCTCGTTCTAGCATTTATTAGGGCTTTTCACACTTGAAATAGTTAACCCTGGATTATTCTAAACCCCGGGTAAATAGAATCCTGGGTTATCTTTCTTCACGTTTTACACTGCTCATAATTTACCATGGGTTAACAGTTAATCCTGGGTATTCATAAACTGACCTGTTTACTCTGTACATTCCTAAACCCCAGGTTAGCATTCTTATCTGCATATTTGCGGCGTCAGTGTCATTGATTAGACGAGCACAGCACACAACCTATTTACGTTCATAAACCCGCTTATAAATTACAAGTGTGAAATGTACCTTTAACCGGGTTTAAAATGACGATAACCCTGGGTTAAGCACTGCATGAAAAGCCCTAGTGATGATGCCACAGAAGGACTGGTCTAGGAAGGATGAAGCCTTCCGTTTCCATTTGAGAGGCACCCAGAGGTTGTCACGGTGCACACACACGAGGAACACGGGAACGAAGGAGCGAGGAGACACGGAGTAGAATAAATCAAAAGGGTTTTATTAACAAAGGCTGGGGATCACAGGACTCGACACATCAGGATGACGTTCAACGACTGACAAAGGACAAGAACTAGAACACACTTTAAATACACAGGAACTGATGAGGGGAAGACAAGGGACACCTGGAACTAATGACAATCAACATAGGAAACACCTGGGAACAATGAATTCAAAACACGAGACAGAGAAACTGGAAGACGGAGCACATAGGGAGCAAAGACACACACAAAACCTGGCCCAGAGTCTGACAGAGGTATTGTGGGTGCTTCAGGACCAGGGTTGGGAAACAATGCTCTTAAGATGATGACATGTTGCACTTAGTTTTGTCCTTGATTTTTTTTAACCCATTTTCTTCATATTGTTATATTGCTACTTATGATTTAAAAATGTCCTTTTGTGTTATTTTTGTAAGAAGCAGTAAGTGTTCAGTAAGTAAACATAAACTGCCACCCCCCCCTAAAAAAATAGTATTTTTCTATATCATGCACAGATTGGTATAAACTATTTTTAAATCAAAAGGATATGCATACATGATTGCACTTTGACTTCCATTAAATGATCTGCTGTCTGCAGCTCCTCTTCATTTTTTTCTTTCAGCTGTTGTCTAAATAAAATCCAGAAACTAAATGTGTAAGAAACCTGCAAAGAATTAATTAGACTGTAAAAAAAAACATGGGAAAGTTATAGGTAACACTTATTATTAAAGTTATTCAATAACACTTTAGAATGCTGTTCCATCATTGACAAATAACTACACAAGAACAGATGTGTAACACAATATTAACATTCTAGGAACTACTTTTAACTATAACAGAAAACTCTGATTAACAAATTAGTAATAGCACTTAGCTGAATGAGGTCATTTACTTTTAGCTAATCAGTAACTACTATTTTTTCAAACAATTAGTGCAATTAATGCATAATGTATACTTAATTCTAAAGTGAAGATCATGGTAACCCACAAGTAATGACTCAGTTATTAAATGCATCAGAAGGAATTATTATCCAAAACCTTACAAAAACCTCAAAAGCTTTCAATGACTTAAGTAATTACTAGGATTTATCATGCTTTTCATTTTAGAATACTGTTAATTAACCTGGGTTAAATAAGTTAGTGCTGGGGTTACTACAGGAACAGTTTGAAAAAAACTGCACAATTGTGGATACATTCAAATTTAAGACTGCAAGTTTTGGAACATACTACCATGCCATTTTATTTTCAAAACTGACTGCTTTGTCACATAGTTATGTGTTTTTGTAACCATAAATCAGCCTGTCAATCATCCTATCACAGTTAACACGGTACAGCCCACGCTTAATTTAATTAGCAATGTTCACTGCCATATCTGAGAGAGAAGTCAGCACATTAGTTTGCTAGCTGCACAGACCTCTACTCGTGTTTTTGATTGTTTTGCAATTGTAATGTATCTTTTTAAAAGTTCACAATGCTGTTGCAGATAAAATATAACAGCAAATACAGATATTTTCATCCGGTTAGACACTAACTATTAATTACTCAAGCCTTTTACTGCTCCTGGTGACTATCTTCTTTATAATGAGTTCATCAGTTTCTTTGTCTAACATTATAAGAGGAACAAACTAGTTTTTAGTTTTACAGCATTCAAGCATTAAACTTATTTGACATGTAAAGCTCCAAGATGTAATTTTTTGATGTTTTGATGTCATGTTATATATGAGAGTGTGCAAAAATAAATAGCTTCTAAATAATTTACTTTACCCAACTACAGTTTGATAAACCTATAATAATATTTTTTTTTTAAAGCAATCCGGATGGATTTCATGGGGAATTGAAAACATTCATATGCCATTTTTGTATGCATGTCACGTTATATCCATACACAGAGAAAAGCTTCAGCTGTGGGTAACGAGAAGCTCAAAATCTATTATTACAATGAAGAAAACTGACCATAGATAATTCAAAATGGTAAAACTACATGCACTGTCACTACCACAAGCGGGCCTTGACTTCAGTTTGTACGTCTGTGATTATTTGAATGTTTGTAATTGTTTGTAATTTGAACGTGTAGCTAAAATTAATATTTGTGAGGCTATTTCACTCATGACAACTGCTCTCTCTGGAACAGTATGCAACCATTTTCAATCATAATCATACAAATCAAAGGGTAATAGACATAGCTAATCGTGCAGCTCTACACTTAGAACTTTTTGTCAAGCTTTATCCCAAGATTTAGTTTTACGTACCTTTGCAGCAAGGTGCACACAGGGCACTGGATAACCATAGACATCAAAGTCAATCAAGACATGCTTTGGTAAAGTAGGGAAAATGTGAATATGCTTAAGATGGAGTTGACTAATAAATGTAACCACTAGCAGCAATGTCCCATAGACGGCAAGGAATGGAGCGCTTAGCATGGCGAACCGCCGCCGATCCTTCAACATCCAGATTGCACATGACCACACCAGTAACACTAACGTAAGCCATGAGTTATAGCTGATGCTCCATACCTGAATGCATGCAAAGAAAAACAAGCATATTAGCGGCATGAATGTAAGGATATAATATGGATAGTGCATTAAAAAGTGTCATAAGAGTAAGCCTAAAAGATGTTACGATTCATATGCACGCAGACACAGAAATGTCTAAACAAATTAATACCAGTTGGAAAACCAATTTCAGAAGTATTGAAATACTTGTTGAACAATTTGCACTCACATATGACCAGAAGTCATTTAAAGTAAAAAAAAAGAAAAAAAAGGTAAAGTATAAAACATAAAATAATAAATAATAATAATAATAATAAATGTTACCAGATATTCAGAAAACATGAGCTTTTAAATACAATGTGCAGTAACGGCACATTATGAAGATTTTTTTTTTTTAATTATAATGATTTAAATTATGTTATAAAATACCTTCTTTCATGCAAAGACAACTAAATATAAGTCATTCACAGTAAGCCTCGACTTCCTAAATCATGTAAAGACCTGCTTTATTTCTTTAAGCAATACAACAGTTGCTCAACCAATGGAATAAGTTAGGTGCAGGATCTGTTTGTCCAAAGCAATGTAGGATGAGAGGAGTTTTGGGGGAAACTCTCTAAAAACAGTCACTTGGGTGACTTCATGCAGGCCTGTGCAGATCAACTGGCACCTGCCTTAATGCAAAGTGTGCCAGTTAGAAATTTTGTGAGACTTTTGTCAATGCTACCACCTTATTATTATGTATGCCATCAAAGAACTGCTGGATCAAGATGAGACCAGGGATATTCCAGAAATCAGGTTATGCAACATACTCGGGTTTATGGAGTTTATGGATATATTTTTTTTTTAATAAATTAAAAAGCACTATTATAACATAAAGCAATGGGTATAAGGTTGGGTATAAAGGGAGCGAGCAGGGAAAACCTAGCACAGGCAAAAGAGGATGTCTAAACACAATGAGAAAGATGCTGAATATAAATGTTTATCTGATAATAAAAGTTGCAGATTCTGTTTTTTCTCTTATTTTAAGCAAGGGTGGAAATAATTATATGAACAGTTTTTTCCCCTGTATTCCTTTTTAAATATAAAACTTTTGAACTGTATTCCTTTTTAAACATCTATACTTCACTCACAAAGCAACATACATTAGGGCCACAAACATTATATTACCATTGTGATGATGAGAGCAATTAAATAGCTCTGTTTCATTATGAACTGTCCAAGCTGGTTTAAAGCAGTAGGTCCTGACACATCAGTAGAAGATAGAGAATCTGCGTCATTCAGTATTTCATTCTCTCCGCCACAGTTTTTCTTCTTCACAGTATATTCTGTGCATACGATTAACACACAAGCACACAGAGAGATTCTTAAATGTGAACAAAATAAACTTAATAAACAAATATGAACAGTAAATCAGGGATGTCAAAGTCAGCTCCTGGGGGACCACAGCCACAGTCTCACCATGTCGTAATTACCATAATTTCGAGATGACAACATGTGACATTCTATTCGGAGCTGCCCACGTCCTCGGACTTGGAATTATGTGTTTCTATGGCAACACTATAAGCACCAAAGTATTCACATGCTCATAGAAATCGTAATTAAAACCTGTAAGCGGGGGAATGTTCTGAGAGCTACGACTTTGACACTGTGACTGCTGTACCACCTAACCACCACAGACTCATTTAGGTGCTGCTTAGGCTTTGATGGTGCCATAGAAATGCATAATTCCGAGTCTGAGGATTTGGAAAGCTCCAAGTAGAATGTCATGCATTGTTATCTCCAAATTATGATAATTACAACATGCAGCTCTCGAATTCTAATGAAACACACCTGAACCAGCTAATTAAAGCCTTCAGGATTACTTTGAAAACTAAATGTATGTGTGGCCCTCCTGGAGCTAAGGCCCTGTCCACACAGCTTTTTCTATACAGTTTGGCCGTCCGTCCACACGCAAACGCAGCACCAGGTCACTGAAACTGAACATTTTTGAAAACTCCTGCAAGGGTGAAGATAACACCGCAACCTGAGTTTTTGGCTTGTGATATCAGAGCATGCGCTGTTATCTCCGCCTACTGGAAACTTTTTCAGGCTTCTGATTGGCCAACATGGCTTTACGGTTGAGATTATATCGCCACCTGTTGGCTTGGCATGCTCTTGACAGTGCTTCATAGCATGCTTTTGCATTTTCATGTGGACAGAGATTTTTTTAAAAATGGAAGAAGGAAAAACTCCCATGTACGTGTGGACATGGCCTAAGTTTGACCCCCTTGGTGTATAGTTTAGGGGTTTACAGTTGTAACTGTTGCGATGACAAAACTATATGTAGCTTATTATTTTTAAATACTTTCAGTATTTCAGAAAGTTCAGATATCAGCTGACTCTCAGCTGATCCATCTTCCAGCTAGTCACTTTTGTATCAGAAAATATGTTTAAATTAACCTCAGATTCACCTCAGCCCAGTGTTATTTTAGTGTCAATTAGACACTTTAAGAGTTTTTATTGATAGTTTGAATTAGTTTATATTTTTACATTTCGCGTTTTTATTTTATTTTTTGTTCAAGTTTTATTTTTTTGTATTTTGTTCTTTTTTTAATGAATGAATGAATGAATGAATTAAAACTTTAATTATTTCAGTACATCAGGTTAAAGCAGTGGTTCCCAAACTTTTTCTGCCAGAGCCCACTTTTGTAGAGAAAAACATTTTCAAGCCCCTAACCTACATACACTATGCACCACATAAAGACACTATCAGGCATGACTTTGCTTGCAAAATCGAGCCTTGCAGCGATGTGAAGCCTCAGGTCATGCAGTCACCAGCCTCGCCTGAGCAAGAGGATCCTTTGGCTCTGCCTCCAGCCTCTAATCCCTTCTCTCCACCTTGGCCTGTCGACCTGTCGGCTCCACCAGAGACCCTCAGCCTTACGGCTCCACAGGGTTCCCTTGTCCAATTGGGTCCACCTTGCTCAGTCGTTACTCTGTCTGTGCCACAGACCTACAAGCCTTCTGCTGCACTCTATCTCTCCACCCCTATGGCTTCAGTGGGCTCCTCCTACTACCCCCCCCAGTCCGCCTTGGTCCTCGGTCACACCGTCTCCGCCTCAGTCCTCGGGTGGTCTTGTTCCACCTCAGATACTCGTCGCCACAGTTCCGCCTAGGTCTTCAGTGCCAGTAGTGTCGTTCAATTCCATCGGCTCTCTGTCATTACCCTGGGATCCCCTGACATCGGCTCGGTCTCCTTCGGTCGTCCCATCTCTGGGTCTGTACCATCTGGCCACTCTTCCTATCATCACCCCCATGGATGTTACCACATCTGATCCTCTGTTGAGTCTCTGCCTGTCTTCCTGCCTGTTTTTGCCAGCCCTTTAACTGTTCCTTTTCGGCAGCTCTTCGCCTACTCCTCGACTTCCTCCAAAGCCCACACCCTCCCTCCCTCCCTCGCTTCATACTGTCAGAAGCTAATATTTTGAGGCACACTGTGGTTTCTTTTTATTACCCACTACTGTACCTCTAAAACTGAGGGCAAGATATGCCTCATAATATTTAATACATCTTTGTTTTAGTTGTGACATTTTAAGTAGGGTCATCATCTGCTTTGCTCTTACTTGGCACTGGCAGTCCTTTCACACACTTGTCCATGCTTAGTGCAGAACCATGCATCATTCTTTTATATTTTCACTTGGTTCCATGCAATACTAATTTCTAATTCTTCAATCACACCATTTAGTGGTCCGTTATTCCACAACAACAACCGCTACATCTGATAACAGACCCCGAGTCAAGCAGGTACTGAGTGACTTCTTGAGATAATATGTAAAATATTTGGTGTTCAATTATTTACTTATGTGGGAACCACTGGGTTAAACTAAATGAAAATGAGAATTTTTTCCTTGGGAATTAGCTGAATTAAAATTAGTTCATTTAGCACTCGCCAGTGACCCACCTCCTTCCAAGCTCCTCTAAGCATTGGTTTTAACAGGTAGCCATTAGTCAAAGCTGTCTTTGTTCTTGTACTCCCTTAAGTCCTGATTTACATGAATTATATATTTATATTATATTGTTACTGCATTACACATAAGCAGTTATATGTGACAATTAATATTAAACTTTTAATGTAAATACAAATATATAAATATAAATAAAAACTTTAGAATATATACACTTTTAAAATAACAAAGCTTATAAATAAATAATTAAATAAATTCAGTTGATTCACTTGCATTGATATAGTCAGATATTTTCTTTTAGACGCCTAAACTTTTGCAGCAACAGCAGTTTCTTCCTGCTTTGTGAATGGACTTAAATGTATGATATCTTCATGAAAAGCAGAGAAGTGAGACTCTTTAACTAGAAGTGAATCAAACTTATGCTCTCTATGTTTTGTGTGATTGGCTGATCACTGCAGATGTCATATTTTGGGTGCACATGCTTCAAAGTGTATCATAAACTCTGAATCATATCTTGAGTTGAGAGAGGATGTTTATAGATGGCGTTGTGAGCTCGCTGAACTCAATCTAAACTGAGTTGTTTGTTTTGTTTTGACAACTCTCAACGTAGTCAAAAATTCTTGAGTTTGTTCAACTAGCTTCATGAAACTGTTGTTTTGTGTGTATATATGGCTTTGAGTACATAATGTAGACAAGAATAATGTAGACTTTCTACATTCAATTACTTTTTGATGTACAATAAGAGATATTCTGTGTGTATGAAGAAAATGCAAAGCAATTTGGGTAGTCATCCTCCAGAATCAGGGAATTCACCCCAGAACCTTCGTGGTCTTGCCATGTCCTCTTCCACACCAACATCATGGCCTAAAAATGGCAACAACAACACAGAATGCAAATTTTTACAAAACAGTAATAATATCTTTGAGAAAAGCTAGACTTTTCTGCCCTCTAATCATTACTTCATAATTCTTCATCACTAATGAATTTATAATTCATATAGCACTGCTGGTAACTGCTCTAAATATATGTTTAATAGTTTGATCATTTTATGTTAACAATTTAACAATAAAGCTAGGGCTGTCAAAGTTAACATGTTAACTTTCTTAGATTTATTAAACATGGACATGTCAACACATGGGCCCTTTTTTAATATAAAGAACATAAAGCAGTCATAGTTCCAGATTTACTAACAGTTTGCATCAGCGTAAACCTCCTTTGGGGTTAAACAACTACTGTCAGGATTGATTAAAGACACAACGTGAAAAAATTGCATTGAAAAGGCTTGGACACAGCCATTTTTGTGGCTGATCTTATTGCACATTCATTTGTAGGAGTTTCCGTTTTGGAATAAAAATTTATGGCAGGAGAGTATTTGAATGAATCATGCAACATGCTTTAATAAGATTTGCTGTATAGTCAATTTACTGGTATTTGCAGCATTATTTACCGTCCAAAAAAAACATTTCTTAACCCACTTTGCACATGACATGACTGAAATTTTTGCAGGAGGCACAGCAGAGAAAAGAGCATGTAAAAGGTAGAGATTTTTTTTTCCACTTGTATAAAGTTATTTGGAATGGCAGAAGAAGACATTATCCGAACATATCCTTATGCAAATTTGCACTGCTCTTGGTAGGAACAATTGGTCATTGTGGAAATTAGATGTTGCCTCTGAGTTCTTTAATTTGCACACTGTCATTTGATCACCCGCATAACTTTCCACTCCCATCAGCGCTTTTTTGGAATTGTGCTTTTATGCTAATTTGCCTTGTTTAGTAAATTTGGCACTTAATGTAAATTGGGTAAATGGATTAATTGCATTAAATAGAATGATTACATATTTAATGAGCTCTAAAAGCTCTTCATTCTGACTTTTTTGTTTGTTTGTTTGTTGGAAATACATCTACACACCAAGAAAAATGAAAATGATTTGTAATACTGTTGGACAGTCAGATACACTTGAGAAAATGTGTACTCATCAAGCCACTTTTAAAAATTGATAAGCATATTTATAATAAGATAAGTATCATCATAGTGAAATAATATGGAAAATCCCCCACTTCCCCTTAGATTGAAATTGCTTTTCCGGGTAAGAGAGTTATCACCCCTTGGTTGAAATCACAGGAGGAGGAGATGATTTCGGTTGATTTGTCCTAGAGATTGATTTCAGTGTCAGTGAGGGGGAGTTTCGACCCCAGCTCATACGATCAAACTTTTGGTCACTCACGGTACTCCAGATCAACTTCTGTGAAGTTTTGACATTATGCTCACAAGACGCGTGTATTCATATTTTAATTGGTCATTGTGGGCCACAGTCAAAAATGTAATTGTCTTATATTTGTATAAAAACAATGATTTGAATATTCTTTATTATTAGGGTCTCAAATATCATGTGGACTGAACAATGACCAAGGAGTTCAAAAACTCTCAGAGAGATTGACATGGCAATGGACATGGCAATGTTAATGTATTTGATCTTAGCAGAATAGATCTGCTACGCTACTGCTGCTGCTGTACAGCAAGTACTGATACTTGGTACTGCCAATACATCCACAGATATGCTGCTGCTGCTAACAAAGCAGGAGACAACAAGAAATGAACAATACAAGCGAGTGTATTCATGTATAAATAAACATGCTGCTGCATCGGTAAACATGCATATATTCACACACATGGGATGAACATAAACAGGATGGGATGGGACAAACACCCCCCTAAACAAGCAGACCTATTGCCAAGACATATGTACTGCTGCTGCTGCTCCAAAGAGCCAGGCTAATCAAGTTGTATTATCTATGTGTACCTGGGCTACCTCGCTGATTGGCTTAGCTCCACTGATCTATATAGCTGTCTGTGCCTGGGCTACCATGCCAAATGGCTTAACTCTAGTTAGAAATGTGCACTATGTGTCATTTAACAAACAGATATCAAGTTGCAGGCTGACAGAGATAAGAAAACCAAGCAACAACATGAGCAAGTATCAAAATCTAAACTCATTTGATAATTGTCATTGACACAACCCTTTATCCTCTTACTTCAATAAGTGAAAAGCCGTTAGGAGCGATAAATGAATGACAAGAATATGACTCAGAAAGGAGCATAAAATCAGCCACACACATTTATCATGGCTTATGAAAAAAAATTCGCCCTTGGAAATAAATGAACACGTCATTGGAGGTTATGCAGCTAAATATGGTGAACCCTGGTTGATTGTGTATACAAGCGTGAAATTACTACAGCAAACACTGCCCAAGTATTTGAATGTTGAGCAGCAAGCTCATTGGCTGCTGATGCAACAGAATCCAATCAGCTGTTCTGATTACTAGCAGATTGAGTGAAGGACCTATCAGCCTGCACCATCTAGAATAGTGGTTCTTAATCCTTGTCCTGGGGACCCCCGGCTCTGTACATTTTGTATGCCTCCCTTATCTGACACATTCAGTTCAGTTCTTAGAGCTCATTCCTAATGAGCTGATGAGCTGAATTAGGTGTGTTAAAGGGGTCATATGATGCTTTTTAAAATCATATGACCCCTTTAAATAAGGGAGACATGCAAAATGTGCAGAGCAGGGTGTCACCAGGACCAAGATTAAGGACCACTAATCTAGAGTTTCATGACAGAACTTTGTATGGTAACAAGGTATTGCGGCAATTTAGGGTAGAGTGGGGTGAGATGAGCCATTTTTTAACTTTTGTGGTCCTCAAGATAAGGGAAAAGGAGGCAGAAGTATAATGAAAGTATCTAAAGTAATCTAAGGATGCACCATCTGGGTGTAAACTGATTATCTGTCTGAATCAGATTCAAATCCACATGAAATTTTAGAGATAATTTACCTCTTTTAAAAAAAAAAGTATGTTAATAATCAAATTTCCTTTTACAAACAGTCACATGACTCGGAAAACAGTCTAACATCATGGTCTAACTACACTGTAAAAATTGTGCCGTTAAATAACAGTAATTTACTGGCAGCAGGGTTACCAGTAAGATACTGTTAATTTACAGCTTTCAACCGTTAATTTACAACTCTAAATTTTTACAGTGTCTTACCGTAATTCTACCATGGAAATTAACTCCTCTCCCATTGCTTCAAACAGTTCGAGTTTAAAAACTAGCGTTCATACGATATTAGTACTGTGAACTTATTTCATTTGAGTCTACTGAGAAGGAACACTTCTTAGTATAAAATGGCAAACACTTAATGTGTAACAGCAAAATAACTAAAAACATGACTTTAACTCAAATCGTTGCAGTTCACTGTTAGCTATAGCACACATGTGTGAGACGAAGTAACAAAGAGATCATTACTGTATCAGCAACTCCACAGTTACGGCCTTTAAATAAAGCAGCAGAATATCAGTGTTCATCATTGACTGAACCACAGGCTCTACTCTTCAGCACAATGGTGACCTACAAAACGACATTAAACTAACAGATCTCTCTTGTGCCAAAACACAATAATACAGGTCAGTTCAATATTTACTCCCCTTATCAGTTCATGACTTTGCATAACTTTTTTTGTATGGATGTTCACAAATATTTCAGTCAAATTAACTTTTTTAATTTGGTAAATCTGACTCTTACGTTTTACAGTATATTGCTGTTTTTTCCTGGACTTAACGGCAACAAACTTTAGAAAAACAGTTATTTACTGGCAACGTGCCAACAAACTGTAGAAAAACAGTTATTTACTGGCAACGTGCCAGTAAATAACTGTTTTTTTACAGTTTGTGGCCGTAAAATAATTACAGTTTATTGCTGTTAAATTACATTTCATGCTGTTTTTTTCCATCTTACATTTTTAACCCTTTAAACCCCACAACAAAATCCTCAGTTTTAAATGAACACTTATAATGTGTCCACACTACAGAGTGAAGCAGTGCTGAAGTTAATGATTGATCATTAGTGATGAACAGCTGCTGTTAACAAGCAGAATCACTGAAGAAAAGAGAAACACAAGAACCACAACTGACGTCAGCCACAGCCTTAGATGATATCAACTGAAATAAAAGACATTAAATCTCTCAAGATCTGATTAAACAACTTCTAAAACAGCATCACCAGCTTCACATTACTAACCAGACTGGTGCTATTTCTGTCAGATGTGTACAGAAGTGCTTATTAAAAATTAACAGAGGTTTAGATGTTTTTGTTTTCAGACACTACCATGATGGAGATCAGTGTTTGCTTTAGTTGGGATCTTGAACCTTGATTTTTTTAACATTATCTTTATTTCACTGTTTTAACCATTGTGTTTTTCAACACATTTGTTGTGGTAAAAATGGGCCACAGCGCAATATGCTAAAACAGCATCACCAGCTTCACATTACTAACCAGACTGGTGCTATTTCTGTCAGATGTGTACAGAAGTGCTTATTAAAAATTAACAGAGGTTTAGATGTTTTTGTTTTCAGACACTACCATGATGGAGATCAGTGTTTGCTTTAGTTGGGATCTTGAACCTTGATTTTTTCTAACATTATCTTTAATTGGCTGCTTTAACCATTGTGTTTCTCAACACATCTGTTGTGGTAAAAAAAGGGCCAAAGCACAATATGTAATGCTGTTGGTTGTGATTTGCAAATGACATTACCATCTTTAAATAACAGGTTCACTGATTTTGTCTGGAGTGTGTTTTTGTCCCAAAGCCATGTTATTGTAAAATATTAGAGCAAAAGAACAAGCGGCTTATTATGAAAGATCACACACATCACTCAAAAAAAAAAAAAGCTCTATCATGCTATGAAACACACACATGAAGAATCAGCGTATGAATTTCAACAACGGTGACAATCCAAAAAATTATTAAACAGATCGACTCTGAACATCACAAAACACGCTACTAAAAATGAAGAATCAGCGTATG